CCAGCTCAAATCTCAAATGTCAATGTAAGCTAATCCAAGGAGTGTGTGAAAACCAGGAGGTTTGGAAAGAAACTCAAAGAACACTGTCTGAGCCCTTATTGAGTTTGACTGTAAACGTGTGGATGACTTCTGTGTTCATGATGACTGAGGTGTGGATGTTTGTGTGCGAAGAAGAAAAAAAAGTTTGTCCTTTTGAATTTCATGTGTCAAAAAAAAGAAAGCGAGGCACTTTGAAGGAAAGACTTCTTGCTTCTGCTGTAGCTCTGTTATTGTGAGATAACTGTTTGTCATTCATTGTTTAAAATGATGTCTTTACTTTTCTGGTAATGGGGGGGGAAAAAGAAGAAGAAAAAAAAAAAAGCGAATCAAGAAGAAAGTTAGAAACCAGGTTTTCCAGGAGGGATTTGCTTCCGGTTGCCCACACCTTATCTGTCTTCCGCCTATCCCAGCTGCCTGGCCACCCTAACACTTTCGAAGCTTTGGATTGTGAATTTACCAGTAAATGAATATACCTCTTCTGTTTTTCGCTATAAAACATTTAAGAAGTGCTCTTCGGTGAGCAGAGACTCTTACCGGGCTGCCGTGTTCCCATTTCTCGGGGGCGGGCGGGCGGGCCCACACAGGGCCGACTGCGGTCGAAATAGCTGTCGGACGCAAAAGGTTGTAGCTGTGCTTATTTCCCTGCTGGGGAAGTCTAACCAGTGCAAAAGCAGCTTTTTCTTTTTTATTTTGAACAGCGGTGTGAAACCTCTGCTGTCTTTGTTTTTTGTTTACTAAAATCATTAAAGTACTGCGTTCTTGTGAGGGTGGGTTGAGAGAATCAGACCGATGAATGAGTGATGAAGAAGAGCGGGAGGGTGATGATGATAAAGGAATGGTACATTTGTAAGTGGTTTGAGAGAAAGGAGTTTTTTTTTTTTTTTTTTTTTTTTCAAAACTTCTGACTGTCAGTTACTGACACTTTTTTAAATATGAAAATATCTGAAAAAAGATGGGGGGGGGAAAAAAAAAAATAAACTATCATATTAAATTGTTGTGTATCATTTGTAGTTTTCTCCTAAACAATTCAATTTCACTGCATCATCAAAGAGATTGTAGATGCGGAGAAGCCTCAACAGTCACAGCACAATCAGTTTCACCATCAGCTCACTTCCACTGTTCAGTTGCACAAGTACAGGAAATGAAACCCATGGCAGCGTGACTCATGAAAAGACATTGTTATTCTAACACCTTGTTCCAAAGTACACTCAGCTGTTTGATAATAAACTTCATCAACAGTAAGCTGAACTCAGTTTGTCGTTCAGGGGCTTTTTCACGCGAGTTACATTTTACTGTATGAGAACCATGTGACTCACTGGGAACTAGGTCATGCTCCCTGTTCCTGTGGTGCGGTCATGGTCAAAGTCTCTTTGTTCATGACTAACATTTGGATTAAGATAAGGGGGGGTTCTTTGTAGGAACTTTTACCTCTCTTACCCTTTTGCCTCCTCGTCACACCTCACTGGGAAAAATCCCTCGCTTCCCAGATGAGGCGGTCTGAAGTTCAGGGTGTTTCCCCTTCGAGGCCACAGAAGCCTGTCGATACACAATCACCAGGAGAACTCCACTGGCAGAGCTGCCTTCACATTTCGGTGGCATTCACAGACTACACGTGGAATAGGACACTTCAGTTAAGGAGGCTTGATATCAGCCGGCCAACTGTCCTTCATATCAACCTGAGAACATCTATGTAGAGAACAACGTTTGTTATTAGCTTTGGCTAATGAATTGTTTAGGGTTTTTGAAAACATCAGCTTGTCTTGTGGTTGTTTTACAGTCAATATTGTGAAAACTGGAGGAACTTACAACAGTTTTTTTTTTTTTTATACATTAAGCGCTGTTTTGGATTTGTTTCGATGTAATAACGATGTGGTTTTGAAATGCTGTACTGAAGGCTACTTGCTGTTACTTGTAAGCACTGCCTGGCCCCATATCTGTGTAATAATAAAGGCTTTGAGAAGCAAGAATGTTTTTCCACCTACTTTATTATGTACAAGTTCCAATGTCACACAATCACCAGACAATAAACGATTTACTTATTCTAGGTCAGTCATCTGTTTTCAAAACTACATTCTCATAAAAGAGCCTTTTACAACACGGCGAGCTTACAAAGCAGATCAAGTCTGTTACATAAATGTGCAAAGAGCTTGTATTAAATTATCCCTGTAAATGTGAAAGTACCCAGAAATGAAGGCATCACCTGCTTCCCCCTTGAAAAAGAAACTGCAGACGTTTACAGCCACTGGAGGTTAGTGTTTAACAGTTATTATGTGGACTCTGGGTTAAGTATTTAGGAGTTTAAAACAGTGCTACGGTTTCTATGATAACATGAAACTCTTAACTCCTTGTCCCATTTTGTCAGGCTGTCTGGTCCGGAGGCTGGAGCGTCTTCATCAGTTTGTGAGCGACGGGAAGGAACTCTAACTCCCAGCATGCCCTGTGGAAGTCCCTCATGTCTTCATTCTCTATCCACTTCAGAGCCTCCTCTTCATCTAACACAATTAAAAAGAGTGGACAGAGGATGAGAGAGCGTAGTTAGAGGCTTCAGGTTTATTATGAGCACCTCTCGGTGACAGGTTTTGAGTTCAGGCAGCTCCCAGATGTGACCACGGAGGTTTTATGTTCGTGACGGTGTGGCCCTCCCTTTCCTCTGAGGGTTACTGATGTGAACAAGAGCATGTTCTTTCCAGCATGTCTCCCCCCTCCCCTTGTTATGTAAGAATTAGTAATAACACTGAGTACCAACCTAAGTATATGGTGAGGATCTCCAGCAGTGACTCTCTCTCCTGTGTGTCCAGCAGCTTCTCTGAGCCACCGCTGATCATGTTCCACAACGCCTGACAAACCTGGCCCACCAGCTGCCAATCACCTGGTCCGAAGTCTCTCAGACAGTCCACAAGCCTGATCACACACACACACACACACACACACACACACAGGCGGACACACATCGCGTGACTCGAGGGAGAGGGATTCACATGACCGGCAGGTTTGTGGGCATTAGCTCCACTTCATTGGACCTACATCTGAAAGAGGACTGTGTGTGTGTGTGTGTGTGTGTGTGTGTGTTTGAAGGGGAAGTAAGAAATGAAATGTTCCATCAATGCTAACTTTTGGGAGTGAGAAGCTAGCGCTAGAAGATCATCTATACTTTATTTGTAGTTATACTTAATTGTATCACTACTGTAAACAAATAACATCACGTTTGTGATGATTATTGGCATCTTGTTCATGTCAGTGGAGTTGTTAAAATTAAGACCATATTTCCCCCAAAAACAGTTTACTCTCTGTTGCAACTGATATGTTTGCAAAAGAATTCCAGAAAGCATTAGTTCAGTTTGATATTAAAGGAATAGTTCAACATTTTGGGAAAGACATGAAAACACAACCTTTTCTTGCCGAGAGATAGACGAGAACATGATAACTGCTGAATATGAAGCCAAGGCCAGCAGCCAGTTAGCTTAGCTTAACATAAAGACCAGAAACACTAACAGGAGGGGAAACAGCTAGTGTGGCTCTGACCAAAGGTAATAGTACTATTTCGGTATAGATTAATCTAAAAACAATACAATGTGTGAATTAGTAAACTTTAGAAGAGATGGATTTGGTTTCCTTCAGACCGAGGCAGGTTAGCTGTTCCCTCTGGTTTCCAGTCTTTATCTAAGCTAAAATAAGCTAAGCTAACTGTCTCTTACCCGGAGCTTCATATTTAGTGCAAATACCTGACGGTGGTATCGATCTTCTCATCAAATGCTCAGCAAGAAAGGGAATAAGCGCACAATTGCAAATGTCAACTATACTTTGACAAACAGTTGACCAACTGGCATAAAATGTAGAATACAATAATTATGGTGATATCTCAAAATGATATATACGTTACGGGTGTGTGTAAGATGCTCTTACACACACACACACACACACACACACACACACACACACACACACACACGCCCACATGAACAGACTCCTAATCTCTAGTTGCATTAGTCCTTACTTGGCAATAGCCCCCTCCACTGAGAGACTGGCCCTGTTGGGAGGGTCCTGAGCCAGGTTGGTGAGGACCCCGCAGGCTGAAATACACATCTCAGTGCTTTTTGAGTCGAGCAGTGTCACTACAAACTGGTGCACTGAGGGAGAGAGAGCGGAGAAAGATGATGTGAGGGAGTAGATGAAAGTAGGGCAAAGATAAGAGAGGGCAGCTATCGCCAGAGTCAGCTGGCAAGTTTATAGTGACTGTAGCTGGCCTTGCAGATAAGTCCAGACTAAACATGACACAGTATGCAGATATACTGTACTGGGCATTTCTGTGTCAAGGTACCCAGTATTCTGTATCTGTGCTTGAATGATAAGATTTAGGCATATTTACGTACGCCTTTTAAAATTAATTTCTGTGTATTGCTAGGCCTAGATCCTTTTTGATACTAATATGGCAACTCTTAGCTCTAGCTAACTTTCCAGAAAGAGTTAATGAATACTTTATGGCTTAAACAAAATAGGAAATGAATATAGTCTCATGATGGAGGGTTTTTTGTGTGTCTGTTGATGTTTGTGTCCAGCATATACCGTTATTTTGCATGATAAAGTCCCGTACATCCTTGGACTGTGACAAATTTCCATATGCACAGGTGGCCTCAAGCATGGCGTCCATGCTGGAGCAGAGCACCAACTTCAACATCACTGAAATAAAAAGAAAGAGTGGGCAAAGGAAAAGAGAGAAATGGGGGTGTGAAAGGGGGAGGGAATTGAACAACAGCAGGGGAGGGGGAGGGGGGGGGGGGGTTGCAATCAGCAAAATACACCTGTTGTTTTTATTTTTCATCTCCACATCAAAGTCTTTTAGTCTTACACTTTGCCATGGTGAGTTGACTGCGTCTGAATACAGAGCTCTCCTCCTGGTAGAAGGACAGGTTGTTGATGGTGGCAGCCACATTCACCAATAGCTCCTCGCTTTCCTGCACACACCTCAGCTCTGTGTCACAAAAACACAAAATGAAAAGCCACTGCTAAGCTTAACCTTGAATGAACATCATTTCTAATAGAGATCTTGAAGTAAATGTACAACCAACAGAGGGAGCATCCACACTGAACAGGCTTTCATTTACGAAAGATGTCTGCCCTCTACTCTCTCATTCTGGTCACTAGTCTCAACATAATGTGAGAGATTATAATCACTTTCTATTGCCTTGTAAAGAACTTGTGCATTCACAGAGAACTCAAAATACACAGCTCTTCACATTTTAATGACCAACCCGGTGAATCCAGGTGACAGCTTTACTTCCTTTTATGTTGATGAAGAGGAGCAGATTATAAATATAATAAATAGAACTATTATAGAACTATTTAAATATGATAAATACATGCATAAATACAGCCTTTGCATATTACAGCTTGGGCCACACTGATGTGACACTGTGACATTATCATAAAAGTGTCTGTTATCTATGGTTTTTGCTTGATATAGACAGTTTGATCATGAGCTGGCATACATACAAAGGTCAATGTGACCCAATCCAACCAGCCGTGACACTGTGAGCGACTTGGAAACTGAGTCTGCTCCTGATATAGCAGCAGATGTCGTGTGCTCAGTCATAAATCGCGGATATTGCGGTCGGCGTCAACAGGCGGCTGTGTCACATTGAATTTTGTTTCTGTTTCTGACTGGAAATGCTGCTTTGTTGTGTGCCCCCCCAAAAATAGCTCTGTAAAGCGGCACGGCCTGTCATGAACTTGATCAAAACAGGAGATGGATCAGCCAACCCCGCTCTTTCACTCTTTTATCCGCTACTGAGATTTTGTTTTCTGTATCCAGCTGTCACACCAACTCCATCATCTCCCCCATTCAATTATTTTAAGGTTCTGTCTTCATTTACTTAATTTCATTCTCATCTTACTCTCTGGCATAAATCTCAAACCCCTCTTTATTTTGAGGGTTGACTTTCTTCACCAATTTGACCTCTGTTGGGTTTATTTCATTTTCTCTCCCAACTGCCATGACGTGTGTAGGAGGCAGGCAACAGACAAATCGAGAGTTTCACAACCACCTGCGTATCAGTTCAGCCTGTCTTGAAACCATCTAACCACATGGGAGAATTTCACACACACAAACCAAGTTGGCTGTGAGATGTGACAGAACATCCTGCAAATCCAGTGAAGCGCTTTGCTCTGTCAGTCTTGAAGAAACAACAGGTAAACCGAAAGAGGATGTGCATTGAACGAAAAGCACTGAAAGGAAAGCGAGCAATGAATTGAACAGACAAATGAGGAGCGTGTTTTCGACTTGTTCCCAGCACAGGGGAAGTGGTTGGGTGCTTAGCAGATACTGTACTCACAATGCACAAAACAGCTATTTTTAAACTTCAGAACTCCAGATTTTCACACACTGCTCCCTTTGTATGACAGAGATATAACATGTACAATAAGAACAAATCTAGAAACGTGATTGGCGTACATCTTCTACTGACTGTATCTTCTATTTTTCAACTTAAGTAGTTTAATTAAACATAGACTGCTCACCAAGTGTCTCCATCAGCAGCTGAATGCAGGCTGTGTGGGTTGCCAGAGCTGGACCTACAGCCGGGTGGATGCACATGTTTGCCAGCACCCTGACCAGCTTTACCAGCACGTCCTCGTCCTGCAGCACTTTCACTGGAGGGGCCTGAGACTCGCTGTGGGAAGGGGGACCTTTCTGTGGTTGTGTGTGTGGTGAGCTGTCTCTACGCTGGTAGGCGTCGTACAGCTGCAGCAGTGTGTCCATGCAGCCCTCGCACTGAAAGAGCTGCCATCGAGCCTCGTCGCTTTTGGCCGTGAGGTTCCCGAGGGTGAAAAGAAGGCGCACAACGAGGTCCTGTTGGAGAACGGTGAAGAGTACTGCAGTGGTCTATGTGCATCTTTGTGCAATTATTTTACTTAGTGGATTAAAGTAAACCAACAAAAAAAATGTGTTCAGTTTCTTTATCTTGCTGAAAGGCCAGACTGCATTGGGAAAAGTTACTTGGCTTCAAACATTGTATACAACTTATCCACTTTTTCTCGTACAGCATTTTAACGTATCCAGTGCTAGAGGTAAATAGTATGCAGATAGTAAAGGACATATATTTTGAGCGTGTTTGTACAAGTTTCTTTTATCTATCACATGAATGGATAGTTTAGGGATGCAACTAAAAACAATTTCATTCCTGTCTGTGCATCTCCCTCATCCCTTGTGTTTCTTGCTGGTTGTTCTCTCTCTCTCTCTCTCTCTCTTTCTCTCTCTGTCTGTGTGTGTTTGTCTGGACGTGGCTCTCCATTCTACTCTTGCTGCCAGTCAACCCGCACACCTGCAATCCATCCACTCATCTATAGCTCTGGCAGTATATGTATCAAGGCTCTTCACTCCAGTTTTCACCAGATCGTTCAGTTCACCAATGTGGAACCAATGCTACGGCCAAAGTAAGAGATCATGTTTAGTAGCTTCTTGTGTTTGTGAAAATTCTTGAACCGGCTCAGCTTCCCAAACTCCAACTCACCAAGATTTCTAAGTATGTCTTTGAACTGTTGCCAGCTGCTGTCTTATTCTGCTTATTCTTAAATTAAACACTTCCTTACACCAGTTTATGATCCCACTGCTTAAGACTATGTATTCAAATGTCTTGTTTTGTCCGATCAACAATCCAAAAACGAAAGATATATAATTCAAAACAGAGAAAAAGCTGGAACCAGCAAACTTTTGACATTTTTGCTTAATGGTTATGTTGAAGAAAATCCTCATATAACTTGTTATGTTGAAGTTAGCACACTCTGGTTTCGTCAGAACATTCCTTGAAAGTGGTAAAGGCGCGCCAGACAAATTGGAATATATATATATATATATATATATATATATATATATATCATTCCAAACATTTCCCGTACATGTATCACTTGTCCTGCCAGAATGTCATCTTGACCTAGACGAGGACATGAGAGCATGACATAATGAGGAGAGATGTGCTGTGTTTGTGTTTGTGACTTTAGACTATAAGAGTAAGCTGTAAGAACTAATACTTTGGATTTGTTGAGTGTTACCTTGTGTACATTAAAACGCTTCCGCTGGTTGCAAACTCCAACTACTACGTCTCTTCTCGTCATTCCTGCCACAACAGTTATAATAAAATATTTATATATAAATTTAGTATATTTAGTATAGTATATTTACTGCATGTTCTAAAAAAAGGATCTCCCCCAAGAGTGTTCCTGAGCACTGCAGAAAATGAATCATTCAGTCATCATTAGATCCTATGAGATTTAATGAGTAATTTAAGCTCACCAGCCACTTGACCTGCAGCATAGCGAGCCTGCCCTGTCAAGTGTCACTCATCTCCCCCAGAAGGTCCATAGCTGTACATGTTTGAAGGTAACTACACCCTATCGTTTCGATGAGTTATCACACACTTGCAGAGGAAACGGTGACAAATGACACCTTGTGCGTCACTCTTGTACCCAGACTCTTAGTAAATAACATGAGGAGCAGGTGAGCTGAGAACACACTATTTTCTTCCATAAACCAGCAGTGGAATTGGTATTGGGACAGAACGGGATGTCCCGGGACTAGGTGCTTATTACATGTATTACTCTCCAGTGTGTGTGTGTGTGTATTTGTAGGCGTGGGCGTGTGTTTATTTTCATTGAGATTAAGAACACATGTCAGTCATGTATGATTGCCAAAGTCCCACCCTTTTCTTCTGTTCCAACTCCTCTTTTCTATGACTCCTCCCCTCAACCTCTGTATCACCTCTAATGTATTTATCCGCTCACGCTCACCGCATTCTTTTTCTTGTTCTCCTCCCTCCCTCCGCCCCTTTTGTTGACTTACTCAGGCCCTCCTGGGACGAGTTAATGTCAAAACACACGCAAGAATAAGACCCGAACGCTTCGTGCCAATGGACACAATGTTCTTGGACTTGAGGCACATAAACAACTTGCTCTGGGGGTAAACATGTTTAGTGGATATCATCATGGACACCTGACAATCTTGTCTTCACACACAGACTCAAACACACACACGCAAGAGAAGGCCCGTGGACTCACCTGTTTTTGGTGATGTTTGTTCAGCAGTTCTAAAAATAGTTGGTAGCAGTTGGGGGTCTGGGCCAGAGCGAGGCGGCACTCCGAGTAAGAGGAGAGTTTACTGAGGGAGAGATGGGACAACAAATACCACTGACTATTCCACTCACTGACTGCTCCGCTATGTTGACTTAATTTGGAGATATTAAATCAAGTGTATAGCTGAAATCTACTGCATTGCATTTATTCTGAAGCAAGAAATGCAGTGCATCAGTGGAATAAGTTGAATGATGAGGGACCGATACAGCTGAGCTCAAGTCGGGTGTCTGTCACACTTCCAGCTTAAATTCCATGTGAAATATTTTGCCTGCAAGTACTTAAATAAATAAATAACACATTCTTCTTCTTGACAGTTAAATGTTACTGTTTTTTTTGACAAGCAATAAAATGCATTACTGCTTACTTCAGTGTACTCAAAAGGTTTTGCTGCAACAGCCTTACTTGGTCTGGTATGACCAGTAGCTGAAGGTGGCTAATATTAGCTAATGTTGGCAAGCTTTAAGTAGATCTAACTGTGTAACTGACATTACAGAGTCAGTTTGCTCACCTGAGTCTTTGCAGTTGCACTACTGTTACACAAGTTGCATCGTCTCCCTTTAAACTATTGTACATGTGTATTTTCTCTCCGAGTACCTGCATATACAGTCACATAAGACCCAGTTTTACAATATGTCAGATTAGTGTAACCTTGGAAGTGAGTTTTGTAAACTGTTGGCACAGTTTTTTATTTGCTAGGAGCTTTGTGTGACTTAAAAGCACCTTACTGATGTAGTGTCTAACTCTGAGTCACCAACACAACATCTTACTTTTGTTAGTTCTAGTTTAGATGTGATTGTTTTGAATAGACCAAAGGTCCTAACATAAACTTTACTTCAAACTGCGCATGCAGTAGCCTTTTCTTTGCATGTACGTCGTCACAATTAAATTCATTCGCACATTCAGAACTCTACTGGAAAAGCTAAAAAACGATTACATTACAGCAACTGGCAACTAGCTGTGTCACTACCCTACCGTGTTTTTGTTACGATGCGGACACAAAAACAGATGTATAATTACTTTGCCAAAGGCTATGTTTCTCTGGAAACACTTGTTTTGCCAGACCAAATTACAAACAAAGACTCCAAGTTAGAGGAAAAAAGAAAGCAGGGGAGTTAGACGCAAAGTTACTGCTGGGGTTAGAAAGCTGAATGAAGGGCTGTTTTGATTCAGCTCACAACAGGTTATGATGGTTTGTGTTAGTGAGCTGAGGAGAGCAGTAGGATGATATAAGGAAGAAATGATGCTGATGGAAGTGCATGTGTGATACCTGTATATTCTGGAAATGTTGGTGCAGATGTCCGGGTCTCTGCGGTGATGACGCAGCACCACACAGAGCTCTGACAGTATAGAGAAGGAGATGAAGAGTGGACGGGAATCAGGGTGATCTGCAAGGTTCCTCAAGGTTGCTGTCAGCTACAGGGGTCAAAGGTCAACAGAGAGAAGCGTGTGAGTGTTGGATGGCAAGAAGAAAATGTACACAAATGTACTTGCTATATCAAAGCGTTGATATTTAGGCCAGTGGTGTGTTTCAGTGTTGTGGTATTGTGCTGGTCATATGCTCATTCAGGCTGGCCGTTGGCCCGTACAGGATGTCATACAGCAGAGCGACCGGAAACCATTCAGGATGGACATAAATCCTTTTATCATAAAAAGGGAAACAGTCATTTCCAACGCACGGCAGCACTGGGCACTGGGTTCTGGAAAGTCCTAGTCTGTGTGTTTCCCTTCTTTAACAGCATCATGAATTGTGTTAGATATCAAATGAAGCGCTGGATCAAGGCGTTTGCTTGAGCCAACTTGTGCAGTTAGCAGTAATCATTTTCGGAAGAGTGAAGCACTGTGTGTTTTAAAATGAAGTGGCCAGGCCAGCAGAGAACACATACCAGAAATAAAAAAAATTGTTAAGTCTACATCAGCCAACAAAAACACGAAGAACATTATTTAAGTTGTTTTTCCTTCATATTGACCTAGTACATTTTTTTTAACTCGCGTAGTCAAACTGTAGAGAAAGTATGTCTATTATTTAATAAACAGGAGTAGATGCTTCCACAAGTAGTGATACAAAAGCTATTGGTTACATAAAATATCTAATAAATCATTCAAAACTATTTAAAATATCCTTTAAAACGTTGCCAGCAGTGCTGAGTGTGACACACCTGTACAAGGACGTGCCCCACTATTGTGAAGTTGGTGTCTTCAGCTGTGCAGAGCCTCTGGATGAGTTTCTGAGCCACACCGACACAGTTCTTGTCTAGCAGGAGTCTGAGGATTGCACTGTTTCCTGAGAGAAATTTCAGAGTCCCAACACAGTACAGCAGAGCTTCTCCAGATGAGGACACATCCTTGTTGTTCAAAATGCCCAGAAATGAGTCTAGACACAAGAAAAATCAAACGTTACCTTCCATACTGTTGAGAAGAAAAACATTGGCAATCTTTAATGACCTGGTAAAGAGGTTCCATAGTAAATGACCAGACACAAATATGACCAAACATACTGTATATAGAACGAACAGATGCTCTTGGAGCAGCTCATATGCCAGACATAAACAAAAACATTTTTGTCTAATAGTGGGAAAATCTACATCAGCCAACAAACACAGAAAGTAGATTATTTAACATTGTGTTTCTTTATAATGACACAAAATAACTTTGTGTTTTTTTACTCACATATATTTTAGCACACAGGACTTGGTACAGAATAGGAAACCTAAGCTAGATCCCCGTGACCTAGAATAGCGTTCACCTATGATAGTATGAGAGTTGTTCTGGAAGAGGATGTCGTTGCTTTCACTGCGGCTGATCTGGAAGATGAGCTTACAGATGTTGAGCAGGTTGTTTCCACTGACACACAGCTAGGGAGAAAAATGCAAAAAATCAAACACACAACTTTAGTATTTTGTGCCCATATGCCCTGGATGCCCGAGCGATAGTGACTTAGTGGCAGACGTGCTGACACCCACACAGACACAGACGACTCACAGCAAGGCAGAGCTTGGCGATGTGCAGGTTGAGCTGGGCAGAGTTGAGGTCGACGAGGCGGAACAGTGTTCGAAGTATCCCTGACCTCCTCTTACAGCGTCGGCCGAGCATGTCCGCTTCTGCCAAGGTGCCATGGAGACCGTCACACAAATCACACAGTCGGTCCACCGAGCCCTCAGAGCTGCCTGGCATCGCTGGAAGCCAGATATTGCAAAAGACAAAAAATCATGTCAAATTCAGGGCAGCATGTCAAACATTCACAGAGAAAGCAAACATCCCAAAATGAAAATACCCTCCTGTGTGTGTGTTGGCAAGGGTGTGTCCATATAAATACAGATGATTGATGTTTTGTGTATCTTGTATGGTATGTATGTGCAATATGCTTGGGCTCTACTGCAAGGTGTACATTTATCATTAGCACGAGGAACATGAGGTTAAATCCTCAACATCAATAATGCCTTGGTCAGCAGTAAAATAACATTCCCCTCCCTTTTCTAAGAAGCAGCTTTTTGTTTCAATGGTCAAATGCAGGGGAACAATTCTGCAACAGGCAGCTGTGATCTTGACGCAGAGGAAGAGAAAGGGTGGAGTCTTTTCCTTGTTTTTGAGGTAAAATAAATGTTGTCCTTGCAGAAATAACAGGGTTTGGCCATTTCTAAAAAAGGTTGGATGCAGCCTCACTCTCAACATTTCACTGCATTTCTCACTGAATCTGAAAGGTGTTTTGTGCATGAGCCAGAAGGCACTTGGTACAATAAATATTTAATATTTATCTTTCAAATGAATTTTCCATTAAATTTGTAGAGTGTTAAAATATTTACAGCCATGTATTTCATTTCATGGCTGCCAGACTACAGTTTCAGGCTAAGACAATTCTGCATGGATGCCAAACAAATTACTATTTTGTTTGCCTTTCTTCGGTGGTTGAAGTGACAGTGCTCTTTCATTTTGTGAGACTTCATGCATGACTATCTGCCAATGCTAAAACCTGCTGGTTGAAAATGAAATGTAATAAGGAAACATAGACGACTAAGAGAAGCTTACCTTTAATAAAAAAAAGACCAAAATCACTGCACCAACATTATTTTAGATTAGTCTCAGAGACTTTCTTCAGCCCAAAAGAAAAAAAAACAACATTGAAAAGTGATACTGTGAGTGAAGTTGGTGACAGAAATGTTATATTCTTTGGATCAAATGAATGGACCTGGTCAAAACTAATGCATGTCACATGTTTGCACTTTTTTTTATTGTGTTTCTAATTGCATTGCCCACACTACCTGCAGCCACACTCTCTAGTTGTTGGAGACGAGGCACAATCATATTATTCCACACCAATGACTCTGCATCGTCCACTGTGCTTGTTGTGTTGACTCCGTTCCCCTGCTCTGAAATGTGAAGAGAGAATTGAAGTCAGCCAATTACCACAACCCAACACAGACAATGGTTCACAAGTTCACCATCTTAAAATAAAACAGCAGGAAGTTTGATGCCACAATGAAAGGTCACCATCCACAGTTACACTTCCTCTGATTTCTGTTTCTGTGCTGAAATAGTCTGCTTGTGGGCATTTGAGTGTGTGCACGTGTGATGAAAACACATGTGCATGCATGTTTGTGCATGCAAATGTCTGCAATCTCACACGCCATGCAACTTTTTTGTTTAACATTTGCATACCCCCTTTCATGGTGTGGTGCAGGAAACTGTTGTGGCCCAAACCAACAGCTCTCTGAGCTATTGGCTGGCTGCCTCTCATGGTGGAAAATGAGGCTCTTAGCAACAGCACCCCAATCAAAGTTTGACATTCAAGAAGGAGTGTTCAGTTACTGAGGGAGAGGTGTGCCTATGTTGCTTGTGAAATCCCATTTCTGGGCTCAAGTCTTAGTATAATTTGACACACTTGATTTCAGTTTGGCTATAGACATCATCGAAAATACAAGTAAAATCACTGAATGGTTGAGTGGTATGTCAGGAAAAGCTGTACCTATACTTTACATGCTGTACAAAATGTACCATTCATGTTAAATATGTAAAATAAAAAAGCCTCGAAAGAGGTTCAATTAGTATATCTGGACAAACCTGTTCTCCGTCCTGCTGTGCTCTCTGTGAGTCTAACGCCTGAGTCAACACCGGGCTGCTTTATTCTACTGTTGGCACAGAGAAACACAAGGACAGTGTCCAGTTACATCACAATTTGGAAATGAGTCATGCAGTATGTGACTGCTGACTAGTTTAGTTTCATTGAATTGACTTTGGGAGCTCATGTGGACATTAAGGTAATAGTAAAAAAAAGAAAAACAAAAATATTTAAAAGGATGAATTGTGTCAAAGAATACTTCTCCATGAAAAGATGCCGACTTTATATTTGGTCAACAAGGCTACAGGAGTATTTTCATCAAGAGCCACTAGGTGTCCCTGTTGCAGCAGAGGTTGAGACGTGTGTGCCGGCGCCGTTATCTCTCATGTGCGTATGTCTGTTTGTATATCTGCATGCAGATACACGTGTATGTTTGTTTGTGCGTGACTGCTTGTACGTTTTTGTGTGCGTGTGAATCTTTGTTTCTGTGCAGGGGTGTGTAGCGTTGTGCATCACAAACTGCAATCCCCAACAGACAGGAACTAAGATCTTAGCTTTGTGGGCAGTTTGGTTAAAGCTGTTCATGCTTTGTCACTGTGAGCCGTCTCCACAGCCTCACCGCCTGTGTGCAGTAACCGTAAAGTGCTTTAAAAACACACCCCTTGTCATGCTATGCTATGCGTTGTGGCTTTCCCTCTGCATGTCACTGTTGCATCTTACTCTTTGCATGTCACTGTTAAGTCTGCAGATACAAAGAGAATGACCAAATGCAAGAACAAAGTCTGTAAAACACGACAGGCAGTGTGTCTTATGACTAATTACTATGTGACCAACTGAGAAAATAACTATTAATAAATAGATAAACACAAGCAGCATGGTGAGTCGTCCTAATCACTGCTATAACTGTAAGATTTACTTCACAAGTCCCACACTAAAAAGTGACTCAATCATAGAAAATATGGAAAAGTGTAATCACTCCTGTCAAAGACAGACATTATCATATCATCAGGACTCCGAAGCTTCTACAATGACACTAGTACAAAAGGCTGACTCTCAGCTTATTGAGCTTTTACACTCAAGTGAGCCTAATTTCATGGTTTTGCTGACAGGTATGAGACAGAAAATGGCCCTAGCTATTGTAAAAATGTCTCCTTTTCATTCCATTGGAGCATCACCAACAGGCGCTGCTTGATCGCATTATCAGTAATATACAGTGTGCGGGTTTGACTACAGAGTGCACTTTCATTTTGGTGGAGATTTTAGTGATTGGTGTAAAGTGGCACACAGGGCATATGTAGCAGGGGAGCTGGCCAAGGCCTGTTGCAGTGAATGTCAGAGAGGGGGCTTTGGCTCTGTATGATAGGATTAAGAGCCTGATAATAAGGCCTCTTTGTGTGGTGCTGCATTCTCTGAGACATGACCTCATCCCTGTCTTAGGCCTGGCCAGTGCACTGCAGTCACAACACACACTGCTGCCAGCCTTGCCCAGATGGGCACCCAAATCTAATAGAGAGCCATTTGGAGCTATAAAGCTCCGGCTTATTGGAGAAAAAGTACCTAGTGGATGTCTAATCTCCCTTATCTTTATATCTCATCCAACTCCTCATATTAATCTGTCATGCTGTGTCTACTTTCACTTGCAGTCCGTGTACTATCTCTGTGATTTTCACTTTGTTTGTCTCTGTCTAATGTACCTTTTTAGTAGATCGTTGCAACAACAGTGCTTCAAAAACTCTGACCTGACACCAATCAAGAAGTCTTTAATCTTAGCTTCTTGAATCATGAATTGACCGCAGCCTGACCTCTTGGGACTTCTCTTTGTCAGCAACAAGTTACATAAACATTGCATGTTAACTTGGCTTGTGAGGGAGGTGGTGGGGGAGGTTGTGCTGAGGGCAATAGCCCAGATTTCCTGTAAAAGTGTTTTATGGTCCGTCCCCCCCTCTACAGCCTCAGCTGCCCCACCCAATCGATAGTCGGATGGATTGTAACGACAGCCCCTGACACCACGCCCAGAATTATGCCCCTCGTTCTGACACACAGCTGATGAGGTCGGCAGAAATAAGCAGCTGTCTGTACTGTGAAAGTGTGAAAGCCGACACATGATAGTCATGACAGATAGAGGTAGTTTCACTGAAAATGGAGCTGGATTTCACTGTGACCAAGATATAGTGTACAGTAAATAATATGAGGTTTTAAAATGGGCTTGAGTGTCTCAAGTTGAAGAATTTTAAATATTGGTTGCTGGCCTAACTAACTTCATCAGCTGTCAGGGATGGTAGCTGAATGTATTTAAAATAACAAGACATGTCAATCAATAGGAGAGCAATAGCCTGTGTTTTAACTTTTGTTAACTTTTGGATCATGTGTTAAGCATAGCACAAAAAAAACAAACACTTATAATGATATCAGCCTTACTAAGGTATATCTCTGGACCAAAACGGGAAATGCAAAGAGATAGGCAAGAAAGCAAGGAGGAGGAGGAGGAGGAGGATTTAATGAAAGGCAAAAATGGAAGGCACAATCAACTCCATCTTGTAATGGCTACCACTGCAACCTTTGTGTGCCTATAAATCTTCAAGTCATTGTCGCACTGTCACTTGGGGTGGGGGTTGGGGGTTGGGGGGGGTGGTAGGCAAGAGAGAAGGACAGATCTTGCAAGTCAAACAGAAGCCTTTCCGTACCTTTCACTTGCTGTTCTGCGTAGGCCTGGTTTGTGGGGACCACTGCGGACCTCGGTGTGGTCTGTACTGGGGAGTCGTTTAGCTGACAGCTGCTTTTGTGCTGGGCCTGGATTTAATCGTTCTTTCACTAAACACACAGAAAGGATGTGGTAAGTTATTTACAGGTTGCCGCTATATGCTGCAGTATTGTTGGTGCTTGTTTCACTATAAAAGTACATTTGTAAACTATATATGCACATGTACTCAATTCAAAGATTTCCAAATTCAGTCAATGCTTTTAAACATCCTCATTATCTATTTCATTGCTCCAAATAGCAGAGCAGATTTGCAAGACAAGGTTTGAGAGAGAGAAGGAGAGCTTTCATTTCCCACTCAAAACAGTAAATCACGTTTTTCACCCAGCCCAACCAGAGAGAATGTAAATCAGGAATAATGTCGGCACGTGAATGGCTCCATTCATTTCCTCGAAAACTGCTCTGGCTCTAGTCCTTTACAGGGATGCAACGAGTGAAATAAATGGAGTGTGTTTTTTTTTAAAATTGTCTACCTGTTTAAAAAGTGCACCATCTAACCACGTCTATATTAGGTAATAATAACAACTGTACTTTTATCTACCATCTTTTCTCTCTTGATCTTACAGAAATATGTTTTCCTTACTGTCTTTGTGTCCCTCTACAGGAGACAACGTGGTGAGAGATCCAGCCCTGAGGAGGCGTGCCCGCGTCCCTCGCACCCCCTTCTTCACTTCCAGTGGGGCACTGGGGGTTTTAGGAAAGGCCTTGAAGGGATCCTCAACATCACAGAGGACTGGAAACTTTGGCTTCTGGTACCACACAAATATATCAGTGGAATATGATGGTGTGAACAATGAGCCACAACTTGAATCCACAAATGAAACTTATTATGTCTACAAAGAGATTATTTTGGTTACTCATGTATTCCTATTTTTTGATTTCATATATATTAACATAATAATCCCATTTATTAAAATGAATATGCTTTCATGTTGGTGTACAGAGGCGTGTTTACTCCACATCCTTTTTTTCAGTTTTCATGGTAATGCTAATAATATCAAAAGATGCAAATATGTTACAACAAATAACACCTTAATTTAAAACTTAAATACTATCTGAACTACCATACTGTATAAAGGTGTGTGTGTGTGTGTGTGTGTGTGTAAGATAACTTACATGGTCTAAAGGAGAGAGGCGTGTCCCTGAACCTGGCCTCGAGTCAGGTGCATCAAAATTTTGAGCATGAAGACTGAGGAGTGAAAAAAAAAGTAAAATTACTTCAACGAGTCATATGTGACCCACAGTTGATCTCAGGACCTGAAAAAATGAAGGAGATTTAATTGACATGTGTAACTAACCTAAAGGTAGATGGAGGTCTGCCCTCGCGGTCAGCACAAACAGTGCTTTTTCCAAAAAGCTGCCTGTGTCCATCTCTGGGAGTAAATGGTCGCTGAGTGGAGTGGACTCGCAGGGACCGTCTGGCTTCACTGACAATTTCTGCACTTGTTTTCCTCACTGCGTTACGTCGTGGAATGAAGGGGCTGCAAACCTCATGTTTTCTATCCATAGAGGCCATTTAGGCTTATGTGAGATTTTCTGCAAATGACTTCAGTGGTTTGAGTTCATTATGCAGGTGGTGGCAGGGTGTCACACTGATGGGAAACAGTTGTAAACATAAAATAAGGATAATGCCAGAACAGAAAATGAACAGCAGGTGTAAAATGTATCGGAAGTTGCAATGAAGAACATTTGATGCTTGGCAAGCGGAGATGAAAGAGGTATCCAGATCCTTTGGGTGATCTTAAGTTGCAATGCTACAATTTAAAATTACTCCTATGGAAAATAAAATTCCTCATTCAGTACTCATTATACAGCAGATTATAGCCCATACCATTGTTGTGATTGCATTTAATTGCAATGATTGCAATGCATCATATTTTATAGGATATTAAAAAATGCTTGTAAATCTTAATTTGCAATGTAACTAGTAACTACAACTGTCAGATGAATGTAGTAGAGTAAAAAGTACAATATTTACTTCTGAAATGTGGTATAAAGCAGCAAAATTCAAGTAAAACACAAGTACCTCAAATTGTATGTAAGCGTAGAAGGCTAGTACTCACTTACACTTAATTATATAGCTTTGACAGGTCCAACAGTGAGTCCAAATATAATATTTCTAGAAAGAACATCCTAATAATGTCTTCTTTTTGTGAATGACAAATCCCCATGCGCGTTCACGCTCCGTCTCCATGGTGACCAAATGATAGCTTGGACAACAAACCCGAGAAACAAAATAACCAAAACATTCAAAGAGATCTTAACTTTTAATTTTTCCCCGTAGGAGCAGATGAAAACATATATTCTGTAGTAAGTGCACCCACCTGTTAAATGACCAGACCGAGCAGGAAGCGGTTGAACAAACCGGGGTGTGAACAGTATGTCCATAAAGTTTAACAGATAGTAAAGAAAACTACAATAAACCTCCCATTAACCCCGGGAAAAACCTCTTCGGGTGACAGTCGGGACAGTTTTCACACCAGACTTTCAATTCGGCTTCCACAGAAAAAAAACAACAATCACAAAACCATCAACTTGTTGATATTTGTTAAGTTTTCCAGCTCTGCAGCCTGCAGCAAACTGGTCCGACGTGCACGAGCTGAATGGAAGTCTCGCGCGATTCGGTGACGCGCGTCTCCTCGCGGTGTAAAGGTAAAAGGTTAAAAGGTTGGATATAAAGTATGATTTCTTTTCAAGAAAATGTGTCGATTTAAAAATCGTAACAAATCGCTTTGATGATTATAGGCTCTCTGAAGGACAAATGGACAAGTAGGTGAGAGGAATCTTAAAAGTGCTAAACTCAAAATTCAGAGCATTAACACAGCAGATAACATTTACAATGTAAAGATATAGTGGAGGTCATGCTTTCTTTGTGCTTTGTTTACACAGCCGGGCTGGCCAGTCTCTGTTGTGGCCCATTGGCTCTAATGGACGTCGTGGAAGCGTAGCTCCTCCCCTTCTGCTCCTCCACACGGTTCTGTTACCACTGTTGCTGTTTGCAATGTTTGTGCTGTTAGCGTCGTTAGCTGCTAGGCTGAGAGCCTCGTGGAGTCAATAGATGTGCTCTGAATTCTGTATTGAGCACCTTTTTAAGATTTGACAGAATTTATAGAGGGCTTGTCTGTATTTTGTGGGGGTCCTTAAGAACACAACGAGACAAATGTCCTGAATGCCGAACTTAAACTTGTGGTCAGTAAATCAATATAATCTTCCGAGTCAAACAAAGTAAAAGTACACATAATTTGACCGTCTTAATGAAAATACTCTTCATTCAAATATATTTTCAATCTGGGCAGTAAAAACCCATGAAAAGTAAAAAAAAAAAAAATATATATATATATATATATATATACAGCAAATGCATATAAGTGAGCGCCATAGTGAGACACACTATATATAGTTAAGGTCTGTCGACCTTTGACTGGATATGTTTCTATTTATATGAAGCTCTATATAAATGGGTCTTGCTATGAGGAAGTAAATAATATTACGCAGTCTCTTACATAATCGTGTTTGAAAGAAAGGAAAAGATCTGAGAAGTTGGGAAAACACATATTTTAAAAGTTTATTTCTTTCATTGTTACAGCAATATGCTGTCATGCATTTTAAAAGTTCAACACTGTAGTCATAATTGGATAAAGCAGGATAACAAAAGGCACAATTCAGTATCACAGTGTATGAACCAACACTTTACACAAGCTTTATTAAGAGCACAAAATACACTTATTTTTCTACCGTTCCGATACCTTTGGTCCGTCGGTCAGTGAGTTCTCGAGGTCCTGCTGTAGTTGGGAGCAGCGGTCGTAGCTGTAACCTACTTTCACCCCTCGTTCATGTGAAAGACACACAGCCAGGTCATTCTCTATAATCCTGTAAGCCAGAGAGCTTGTTCTTTTGACATATCCGTTCTCTGTGACACAGAACAACATGTGTGCGCGCAAAATAAAAGCAGTATACCGTGTAAAACACAAGCTGTATTGAAAGTTACACGATTATTTACCTCAGACGAATGTAATTCACCAAAAGATACAAAGAAAAAGTTTATCATAAACTACAATGTCTCATATAAGCAGTACACACAAAATAATAATCTACTATAATATGGTATAAATATGCACTTTCAGCAAAATTGTTGAATTTTGTTTTAAAAGGATTTAGCGTTGCCAGCCCGACGTTCGGATTTGTCCACCATTTTGTCGCCACGGAAAGTATGACGTGTCAAAAAAAGAGGAGTGGACACAAAATGGCTGCAGACTTACGCCGTGTTCGTCAGTGACAGTTTCATTCTCTAGTTGTGGTCGCACTGCAAGGTGGTGTGTGACGCAACAGTCCTGCTCCGGGTGCACCGTGAAACACACGGTCGTACAGGAGAAACGACCTCCAGCTTTTACTTCCTCTGTCCATTTGATTTTGAACCGCGCCGTCCCCTTGCTCTCTTCAAGCCTCACGAACTGCATCTCAAAACATCAGTGCAGAGAAGAAGCAGAAGTGCATCGATGTTCCTAGATGAACTCAAGGTTCAGGAGGAGTACATGATGCAGAAGTTCATTCATTCGACTCACACGCTTCGCTCTGGGCTCTTTTAACTCGTCTAGATGGGCCGACCACTTTAAACACCAATCAGGTCTGTCTGGATTTGCACATTCGTCCACTTGTAAACCTTTTCCCCCCCCCTTTTTCTTTTTTTTTTTTGCACCGTGAAATATACATCTGAACAATCTTGTGAGTCTCTGGTTGGATTTAAATAGCCTTACATGCTTCAGTCTCTTGGATACAGGGAACCCGATTGGCCGAGAGCGAATGCCGGGCATGCCCAATCACGGGGCATCACCATGGAGCTCAGCAGCCAATGGGAGGAGGAAGATGGTCTCTGTGATTTCATTGTCACTAAGGGAGGGGGGGAAACATACTGCCAGGACAGTTGGCACTGACATGCTAAGCGGTGGACTCCATTATAGTCGGAGTCTATATGTTTGAGATAACCTGTGGAGCGCTTGCCAAGGAGAGACGAGCACAAAGCGGGTGTAAAGATGAAGCTGCTCTCAACCAGGAGCTGCTCACAGTGCACTCACGTCACCGTTATCGCTGCCGCTCACGTCACAGGAATGAATGGGTTGATTTGTGAGAGCCATCGTCCTGGTGGAAGGTGGTGTGTCTCCTTGGCAACCAGCTCCATCTCTGACAGAGAGCACTCGAATTGCAGGACAGGTTTTTTTTTTTTTTTTACAGTCCCTCAATCGCCATTCATTTAACCCCTGAAGAGTGATATCTCTTCTTCTCTCCATCTGTCCCTTTGTATTCTCCCTTTTTCTTTGACCTGTTTTCACCTCGGTGTTGCGTTTTATCTGCCTCATGCCTCCCAAAACCCCCGTCATCTCTTTATTCATAGGGATGCAATTATTATCGAATAGTCGATTCATTGTTTGGTCTTTGAAATGTCAGACAATTTATGTTTATGTTTATTAACATGCAGTCCACAATGCAGAGATATTCATTTTGCTAAAAAACAAAACAGCAAAAAAAATTGACTTATGCTGTACTGCTTGATTGTTTATCATTATCACACTATGCTATTGTATAGTGTGCAAAACACACCACCCATACATCTTTGCTATTCTTTGCTTGATATTGTGATTTATCTTCCCAACACTGTAAAATGCTCCTGTTTAAAATGTATATTTTATTAAATTGAAAAAGTACAATGTTTTCAAGCACCAATTGGCTATAGGTATAGAGGTGATAAAAATACTACTAATTATACTTTATAATTTGCAATTATTTATTTAATGTCCCCCATTTCATACTTCCTTTGAGTATGTTTCCAGAACTGTCATGATATGACGAGCAGTATACATCATTTTAAGTGTTTCATATCTTTTGAGCACAACAGTTCATTCTTGACCTTGGAAATATCTGTTTGAAACAGAAAATCTTGACTTAAAGTCCACTTATTTTAAAGATCTACATACAGTTTACTACCCTTTGATTTGCTGTATCGAAATGGAAAATTCTTACAGATGTTGTAACTTAAATATAGTTTTGTTTCAAATGGGACATTTCTTTGTAAAAGAAAGTGCTCTCTCATGTTTCCTGTTTTGTCCGTTGACTCTTCTTATCTCTCTCCTTTTAACATGCAGCCTTGCTGTAACTCTGTAGTCAGCTTTTCTAAGCAGTGGGAGAAAAGTAACCGCCTTAGTTGAGTAAAGTTTTAATGAGCCAGCAGGTTGACATGACAGAAATTAGCAGTGAATCATTCTTGAGGTTTGTCTTTGTCAGCAGCTTGCTTGTTTCTGGCAAACCGGAGCGTGGGCTCTGACACGAAAAATCTAACTCCTAACTTCTCAGCACTGATGCTTGTGCAAGATTGCATTCAGCTTTTTTGCTTAGTCAGATATCTGAGATGAATTTGGTTCTTCAAGGGAAGTTAGTAATAAGGGGAGATGTCTCATACAGGAACAGGACAGTGTGTATTTTGCATTTCTGTGAAGATAAAAACATGCTAAAGTAACTTTTCTTACATGACAACAGGCACTGTTTTTCACTTGATCACCCTTAACAGTCAGTTTTTTTAAGGAGGAAACGGCAAAAAGAAATATAACAATACTGTTTACAGTCACAACGTGTTATCTGTGCAATAATTTTCCTTGGCAGTATTTTTCTAAACGTCAGGCTGTCCCACGTTCATGTCTTTCCACACTGTTCGGTCCGAGGCAGAGGCGGGTACGAAGCCAGAGTCTCCTGCTGTCTGTTAGGACTAAGAGTCAACTGACACCGTACACATACAGACAGTCGCCGCCTTATCGCTCGTCTCTCTTTGTGTGCATGGAAAATAAAACATCTCGCACACACGCACACTTGTGTTACGCACAGATGAGCTTTTTGAAAGCCTTATCCAGGCATAAACAAGGCACGCAAACACTTGAACATATGGGCATGCAGGTGCCCATATGCACATACAGCAGGAGAAACCATGAGATACAAGTTACAAGTCTATAACAACTTGAAAATTATACTAATCACCCTATTGCCTGGTCACTTGTATAATACTGGTTAAACCGTAAAACCTTTTTTATTGACATGCATCAACATCTATGTAAGGCAGCATTTGAAATAATAAGATAAAATAGATAGTAACACATTGTAGAAGCTACAGTTAGTAGCCACCGGGGTTCTAAGAGAGCCAGGCCAGCTGTTTCACCCTGTTTCCAGTCTTAATGCTAAGCTAAGCTAACCAGCTCATATTTATTCTACAAATAGGAGTCAATCTTCTCATCTAAAGAAAGCAAAATGTAGAACTGCTTCTTTTAATATAGTTTTTAAAACCCTCCCTGTGACTGAAGAGTCCCCCCCCCCTGAGATTGCCATCACCCTGACAGATCCCAGTGAGGCATGTCCATCTCATTTTGTATGCTAATCAAAATGCAGGCGACTCAGCCCTATCTTGATGGAGCTTGTGCCCGTTTCTATGAATAGATATGCGGGTGTGGGTGCTGACCTGTCTGTATGTTTCACCGTGTTCCTCCCCTTGCGTCGGCCCTCGCAGCACTTTTCACCAAGGCCATCTCACCACATGTAAACATCCTCG